AGTCTTCGCGATTCCAGCACTGAGTACTCGGAAAAATAGACGTTAACAATTACCAGCGATTAGTTTGTTCAGACCGTATTTATCTTTTACATTCCACATTGACATCTTAACAAACATGGATAGGCTTCAAAGTAACATTCCACAGCGATAAAACATGTGATAAGTGTTCCTGTGTGTCATACTAACCCCTCCCCCAATCTATCGGTCACACTCACACATGTTGAAATAGTCGACATTCCAGCAGCAGCGGTTGGCTGTTTAGCTGATCTCTCTCTCTCTTTCTCTCATTCTCTCCTCTCATCTACCCGGAGGAACCCAAAGCTAACTTTAGTCATGGGAGAGAGCCAAATCAAAAGAGGGAAGGCCGCTAAAACCATTTTATTTCATGTTACATTTTGCAAACACTGCACCATTTTAGCTTACTTTCCTCCTTTTGAAAAAAAAAAACAGTCGGCTTATGAGATCACCATGCTGTCTGTGTGTCCGTGTATCTCCTACACCCATCAACTTCTGAATGCCTGAACCAATCTTTATGATACTTGGTATGTATATAACGGCACCTGAGCCCGTCTCAAAGGCCTGCTTCATAAATCCCTCCTAACGTCGCTAAGCAACGGCTATGTAAAAAAAAGTTACGGCGGAAACAAATATATACGAAATAGAATAACTCTTGGACGCGTCGTTAAACTGTTGAGCCAGTCTCAAAGGCATACTTCATAAACCCCTCCTAACGTCGCTAGGCAACGGCTAGGTAAAAAAAGATACCGCAGCAACAAATACATACGCAATAGAATAACTGCTGAACCCGTAGTTTTCTATGTTATCTGTGTCGTATCAAATGAAAGTAGGCGATTAGCTCTTCCCAGAACTTCCTGTTCCCCCTTCTCCCCGTGTGTTTAAATCTGCAACACAAAGTATAGCGGAATACGCTGCATATGGCATAGCTATAACAAGTACCCTCATATCGAAATATAAGGTTCTCACGGCGGTAGCTATATACTGGTATGTGACGCCGTGTAGTCTCGTAGAAAGCTCCTAACTTTTCGGAGGAACCTAGAGCTCTACTTTACAGATGGAGGAAGCAAGTCTTCAAGACCATTAGTAACGTTCTACCATACTACACGGTTCTATTCTCGACATGGAGGCAGCCTGTAGTGACAATTTCATAGTTTCCCTTGGTTCCTTCAGGCATTACCTTTAGAAAAGTCATAACCACATTTTCTTCAGTCTTCCTACCCTCCGATGCTATACGAGTATAACAAATACACTAGAAAGGCGACATTCAATTCATTCACCTGGAGGACTGTACCGTAATATATGTAGGAACACAGACGTGGATCGGATGATAATATTAAAACAGATCTGAAAGAAATTCGTGTGAATTCATTTGGCCTAGCATACGGGCTTGACGGGTACTTGCTCATACAGTAACGAACCTTCGGGTTCCATAATATTCTGTGAATTTAAGTAGCTGAGGAACTATTTGTTTAAGTACTCAGCTTAGGTATAAGGGTTTTGGCGTCGACTGCACAACCCCTCACCCTGTATCATTTCTAAGCCCTGAAGAGAAGTTTCACCAACCATGAGCAAAACACACTGTGACGAGAATGACGAGTAAGAGGAAATAAAATATCCCCTAAAATAAAAACAAAACAAACAAACTCCGTGATTTTAGTCCGCAAGCGAACTATACCGACTGAGCGACCGCCACTTGTCGGCGAAGTTTGGTGCGGATAGAGAGTGTCGCGTGGTCAGCGCAACGAATCCCCACGGCCGTTAATTTCGGTTTTCTAGACCGGAGCCGCTATTTCCTTGAAATAGCTCCTCAGTTATAATCACGAGGCTGAGTGGACCCCGTTCCAGACCCAATACTTCTCAGAAAAGAATCTGGTAGCGCCGGGAATCGAACCCAGACCTCTGGATCTGTAGCCAGGAACGCTGACCACTAGACCACAGAGGCGGTATATCCCCTAAAATACATAAAATAAATCATGCTGTTGACTTATCTCACTAGGGTAAACACGACTGTACTCCTCGATAGGGTAATTCGCGAAGAAGGGAGTGGTTCAACCCCAAACCCAACACTTCCTTTCTAAATACAGACTTGCACTGGCTATATAAGGCTGTCAGGTTAGCTTAGCCTGTACTTGTCTACAGGTCAGGTGACACAGGAATCGGGGCACGATTTCCGACAGTAACAAAACGCTTTTTCTTACCCATAGCGTCCAGACCCATTGTCTGGGTACCGTGCGTAAAGCGGCCAGCGCGTCACAATGACCATTCGCTTCCGTCCAATGCCGAAGTTCAGAATGTGCGGAGCTGTACCACCACTCCCCCATATATTTTCATGGTTTGGTACTCCATCAATGCATTTTGGTTCGAAAGCCAGAAGGAAAGAGAGACCACTAGGAAGACCTACACGTAGGTAGGAGGATAATATTAAAATGGATTTCAGAGATATAGGATGAGGTGGTATGAACTGATCTGGCTCAGGATAGGGACCAGTGGATGGCTCTAGTGAATGCTGTAAATTATTGAGTAGCTGCATAACTGGAAACTTCTCAAGAAGGGCTCAGTTCCATTGAGTTATGTGCTTCATTAATCACGGGGACAACTACACATTTGCCTCTTTTAGGCCCCGTTTTCATACTGGCAGAGAAATAATCACGGAGAAAACTAAATATCGTATATGTTCACATGTCATCATACAAATACAGAATAAAATCTGAGTTCCAATATGAGGACAGCTAATAAATTCTTTAGAAATGTTACGAAATTCAAATATTTGGTAACAGGAAACAAATTAAAATTATATTCATGGCAAAATTATGGACAGCTTAAATTTTGTTAAATGATTGCTTCCAATGGAGCAAGGATAGCTTAGTCACTATGGAGTCGGGGCAACAGCCCGGAAAACAAAAAAAAAAAAAATCAGGGTTTGATTTCAGGCAAGGACAAGTGGTTTTCTCTTCTCCAAAGTATCCAGATCAGCACTGGAGCCATCCATCCTCATGTCCAAGGGTACCGGCGACTTCTTCCTTGAATGTAAAGCGGTTGGGAAGTGAAGGTAAACACTCAGCTCCATCTCTTGCCAAGGTTAAGAGTGCATGGAGATATACTTCCAGTCCCCCATATGTCTTCATAGTGTGGTGCTTATTTAATCACAGGGCCAACTTTACTTTCACTTGCTATCATACAATTCAGAATCTATCATCCTCCTTACTCCTATCTACATGACCTATACCGAACTATCACTTTACCAATTTCGTAAGTTGCATCCTGATGGTGTGAATATGGTGGAACTCCGTAGGATCTGAGGTTCTCACTGCGGTGGTTATGAAAAGTTCTATCTTATGGGATATGGTGCTGTGTAGGCCACTGAAAGTCAACCAACAAGTCGCCTGCATCTTTATGGTCGAAGAATAAACCAAGCAAGAAACCAGCTTGAAGCAGGTAGAAAACACAGCAACTGACTTGCCCAAATTACAGATTATACAGAAACCTGACATTGTTTATCCTGTTCTTGTCTCTTACTGACTCGCTCAGATATCTTGAGAGCCAATTGGTACTGGTGATTCTTTTTGTACTATGGGCAAGCCGATGGGAACTGACTTGCAATCTTCCATTTCCCTTCTGTTTCCTATATAATCCCAAAATTTGGTCAGTAGGCCACCATCGCTTTTATCTAAATCATCTCAAATTCGTTACTCACTAAGCATCGTATCATTCATTCCTAAAAACCGGACTTACTGTCTCGTTAAATAAACCATACATAAATATATTACCTATGACTCAGTTTTGATATAGTACAGCCTCATTCTGGCTAGACTGTGATAATTAATTACTTATACATTGTTAGTATTTGGCTCTAAGGGCAGTATCAAAACTACAGTCTTCTGGGATGTGACAACTTGGATTTTGGCAGATGGCACAAACATTTCGGAGAAATACAGCGTCACAACTCAGATGACCATAGCCTTGTCACTTATACACTGTGTATTAAGCCCTTAAAGTAAAGTAAAGGTATCCCCGTAACAAGCCCTGGAGGCCTATAGTTGTGAGATGTTGAGGTTCCCACATTTTCTAGACAATCGGCTCATAGATGGGAGAAAGGTTATCAGCCTTACGCGCCAGCCACCCTTTACCCCCAAGAATATTCCTGGTACTCATATCCCAATAAAAATGGTATATTATCATAAATGACTGAGTTTGCAACTGCACTTTTTAAATGCATAAAATTCTACAATGTAGGTGCCTAAAGCATTTACACCCTGATATGTATAACACAGATAACCCATTCAAAACAAACGTAATTACTACTTTGCCACTACAAAGAAATACAGTACATATATTCTAGTTTTCTAGTTTTCCTCGCTGTAACCTCTGTGGATTTTAAAAGCATCAAATATCCCAGAATGACGGCTGTGGATAAGGCAACATTCATGCACTGACAGCTGTGTGTTATGCCACACATGATTTCGGCTAATAAGATTCTATAAACAACACTGCATAGTATTACGACTTAACTGCTTAACGCAATGTCTACTGAGCAAAAAAAAAAATTAACTGTAACAACTCTACACACCACACTGAAAATAAATTAGGCATATAAAAATTACGGTACACAACCACTCTGCAAGCATTAAGTGAACAAACACTGGTCACATGTTATTTAAAAGCAGGAAATATGTATGTACGAAATGACAGGTGAAAATAGACGGTACACTTCAAAACATTAAGTTTCAAGAAAACACATAAGGCTTAGAAACGTTATCAAACTAGGCAGATAAAATGCATTAATCAACTTAACAACAAAAAATCACATGCTTTTCTGGCTATGTAATTTCCTTCGGCCCACTAAATACGAACTGGTTAGGCCTACATTGCAGCAATGGCAGACTTGTTTTGAAACATCTACGACATTTCCACGTTTGACATGGAACGTAAATAATAGGAGTTCAGCTGCAGACAGTAATATAAAATAATATTTTGTTACTTACAATAGTCAGAACCGAAAGTTTCTAATTCTTTGAACTCTGTTACACATACTCACACTGCCGTACGAAACAAGCAACTGAATGAAGTTACCTAATTTCAAATTCCTTCACCAGAGTACGGTAACATCGACATACCATTTGGGCGTGCTCATGAGCTGATTCGCAACGCATAACAGCGAACTGCAGCAGGCGCTCCACGGAGCGCCATTTTTAAGCAAGTACTCCAACAATACCATGACCCATACAATAACAACCATTTAATTTCTCAGAAAACAATCTCTCTGAGGAGAGGTGAATAAGAGAATTTCTTACGCGAGGAATCGTCGGTATAGCGACGGACTGCGGGCTGGGTGGCCGAGGTTCGAGTCCCGGCGGTGGAAAGATTTGCTCTTCTCCACAGCGTCCAGTTCGGCTTCGGGACCAACCCAGCCTCCATCCATCTAGTGTCGAGGTCAAGAATGGTGGTGCTATACCTCCACTACCCCATATGTCTTCATGGCATAGTACGTGTATTTAATTCAGCACTAAGACAATTTTACATCACAGAAATATGCCACTGGGCAATAACAGAACCAAATCAATCCACTTCATACCTTCACAGCCTACTTCTCTAAAATGCATTTTAATATTATGCTTCTGTCTACTTTCACCTTCCTCAAGAGGGTTTCTTTCTCCAAACCGATCTTAAGCGAATCAATTAGTCTTGAGACTAATGCGAGCTCTCGACTCGACAGTCTTTATGAACGAAATAATTCTTTAATCACGGTAGTGGATGAATGTGAAACCAAAATAAAGGGTACTGAAATACATTACACAAAATTTCTTCTGCCGCTTTAAGTATTTTATTTAGATAGGAATTCATGAACGGTATTAATCTTTTATACTGCACATACTTATTTTTAAACATGTGACCTTTATGAACATCATGTAAATCATGTGAGAGATTCTTGTAAACAGAAGTTCTCACGATCGCTCACGACAGTGACTATGAAGATCACACGTCTTATGCAATGTGGGGCCGTGCAGTCTGGTACGCATTTACCAGACTATACGTCGTAATTTCTCAAACGCCAGCAATATACACACTATACTGTACTAATAAAATACACCCGAATTCGTTCCACCACACTGCAGAATTGCAAACACTAGAATCTCCCCATTTTAATAAACATGTCTAGATTGATTTCAATTTTTATATAGCTCACTGATTTTCAGTGGGTATTATATATGTGTGTGATACACATACGTGGACATAACTTTGGACGCTTTGGACAGTCTTTTCGTCAGCAAGAGTCGTTACGCCTTATCATGCTGTGGCCCAATTACAACAGAGAAAACATGACCAACATGACCGATCATGACGATCTCGACCGATTATCTTTGCCAAAGGATGTATGTCGTTCTCTTCACAGAACATAAATATCATGGCGGCGTGGTTGGTGAAAAGTTTTTTGCCGGTTGTTTCAAAAGTGAAACTCGGTCGTAATGTACCCAGAAATCTCGATAAGCGTAGAAATGTATATCCGGAAGCAAGTATGTATATACTTTAACAAATGATATCAGATTCTTATAATATTAACTACATTTAGAACTAATGCTATCGAACTGCAGATGTTAAATGAAAAGTAGGTTACACAATAGAAAGCTGAACTGGAATAACCAGGTGTAGTAATTACAATCCTATTTACTTTACTAATATATCGACCCAGACCAAAGGTGGGGAGATCCTATGTCACACATTTAGAAATCGCATACACGTTAATATTAAAAAACAAAACATTTGTATACACACAAACAGCAAGCAACCTGTAACAGGTAAGCACCATAAATGCATAAAAACAAAAACAGTTAAAATAATAGAAACAGTGAACAAATATGCTTTCGAAGTCAAACGTAATGCTAAGGATTTTTTTTATATATATTAAGCTCTTCACAGTGACACACCTTGTTGATGAGCAGAATTTTGGAATGTTACTTGCATTAGATGCAGAAGACTCTCAGTTTGCTTAATGGAGGTGACCGATATAAACAGTATCCATAATAAAACAGCACTTGTCTCTATCCTTGAAAATATTAATAAGAAATAAAGCATCGAGATGCAATCACTTAGAATAAAATGTTATAAAATTTACAATTTAATTGTGAATCACAATTACAGGGAAAATTGAATAAACTGATTCAACATGACCTTCCATTTTTTCTGTAACTTTTCAGCTTATTAGAATTTTCCAAAGTCGTGTTATTCCCAGCAACAGGTATATTCAAACTCTGATCACCTTAAAGCAACATACTGTCACGTGTATCCTGGTAATGCAACAATAAATAATGAATTCCTGATTTGATAACTTGATTTATTGGATAATTTCACACGTCATAACTGCAATTTGTTATACACTTTTACGATTGCTGCATATGTGACACACAAACAATTACAACACTCTCAAGGTTAACACATCAGCTGCTGAACTGCCTTGAACATCTTCCTGACAAATCCTCTCGAACAAGTCAAGTCATGTTGCGACTGATGGTCGGTCAGTCAGTCTTGGTGTTGACCCCATTTGGAGCTCATGACCAGATATTTATTACTGTTTGATAATTACAGTCTTGTTATTGTGGGGTGCCCTCTCTGACGAGAGGATGGGTCTATCTTTTGTCAGAGTCATTATCTGCAGCAGTAAGTTATAATGTAAAAAATGTTTACATTTTACACGTTAAACATGTTAAAAATGAATATACAATATATACAGGGCCTCTGTCAGTCCAGGCTCAGTACAGCAGATTTTGCCTTGTTTCTAGTAGCTTCCGCTACAACGGAAATCTAGTCACTTGAATGGTTGTATGCTTTACCACCGCCAAGTTTAAGCCTTTTATACTTTCTATGTCATAGAGAACAGCCTCTATTGTTGACAAGACTTGTTTACTGCTCGTTGCCTAGCAATGGAAAGCCCTTTTCTTATTGTTGGCCAAGAATTTTTCTTTAAGGAATGTGTGTACCTAGCTTTTCCCTAGCAATGGATATACATATTACAATATAAAACTGTTAGGCTATTGAGAGAGAAAAATATTACATGTGATAAAATAATTCATAGCAATTGCAATGCGTGAAAATATATGTATTTTACATTACAATAACAATACAGTTTACTAACATAACATCGAGGTCTTTTATATAGTTAATACATGTGAATAACACAACACAAACTTAGTGAAATGGGCACTTAATTTTATGAGCAAAAGAAGGGCTTGGCTGCGTTAAAAATAAATGGAATCAGTTTCCCCTTGTAAACAAACAGAAAGCATTGACCAGAGCATGATTCCATAAGTCATACTGAGATGGATGCAGTTTAAATTTTCAATAAAAGGAAAGCTGACCATGTATAATACTTTTGGAAAAAAAATATTTAAAATTGTAACAGGTCTAGAATTAGTCACCAAGGCAATGTTACATTTCTTAAAGTAGGGTATCAGCTACTTGCCTCAATAAAAATTGATATTTCCCTCTTAATAAACTAAGATTAAAAATATAACCTAAAACAGCAAGAAAACTAAGAGCACCCCTTCATAATACATCTGGGATTTCTTCTGGATTGGCAGACTTCAATCAAGTGACTGGCGAATTTTCCACGTCAGAGCTGGAAACAGAACATAAAAAAAAAAAAAATCAGAAAAAGTATTGTCAGAATTGTTCAGAATATCACCAAAGGAGGAATAATTAAATATACAGCCAAAATGATTAGCAAAGGTCTCAGCAATAAATTATAATTTATTGCTGAGACCTTTGCTCCATTATTGCTCCATAATAAACTGCCATCAGACTATGAGTTGGGTGGCAAAACAGTCACTCCTCTTCAACTTTGAAATACATTTCTAGAGGGGCTTACTTTGGTTGGCAGGTGTATCATCTACAGATTTTAACCAATGAGGTCTGTATTAAAACAGTTTTAACCAATTTATGATAAGAAAAATACTGTAATTTATGAACAGATCTGGAATTCTTGTATCTTTTAAAATGCTAATCTATCTTTTTAATGTGACAGATTAAAAAATAAAAAAAAAACTAATGTGGAGAGTAGAGATTTTAGATTTTACACAGCTTAAGGGACAGCTAGATTTATGGCTTTGAATACTATGGTAGACAGATTATAAGCAGCTAAATCAATATAGTTCTTGTTAAGAACACACAGTCAGAATTAAGTACTATAATTTTTTTCTATAAAGTAATAGTAATCGCCTTGAGCTAGTTGTGATGAGGTGTCAAGGAAATAACTTATTAGGACAGTCTAAAATTAATTTCAAATCAAGACCAAGTGATGAGTGATATCAATGGTGACCACAGGATAATTAGCAACAGAAATGCTTAACTTCCTGAGATTTATAAAAATAAGATATGGAATGAATTGAATTTTCCTTATTACAAGGGCTCTTCGGAAAGTAATCTCTGTTTATTTTAGGCAACTAATGTAGGAGCAGAGGAGAGCTCACACGACTCATTGTCTTGTCAACATCACATAACTGGTCACCTAGTGTTTGTTCTTGTCTCTACAGAGGCAGTTATGAGGTGACCTGTGACTGATAATCCCACCAGCTGTGAAATTTGCCTTGTTATCTGCTTTTTTCATGCTAAAAGCATGAGTGCTGCGGAAATCCATCATGAACTGTGCACAGTTTATGGCCAAAATGAAATGAGTGAAGTAACAGTAAGACAATGGTGTAGAATGTTCAAAGGTGGGCAGACAAATGTTTGTGATGAAGAGCAAAGTGGTTGGCCATCTGTAGTGAGTGATGATCTTGTTCAAAGTGATCCACTTTCATGTGGATTTCCACAAATTTCACGCACTGTTCTCTACCAGATTATCACAGTTAGGTTAGGCCATCACAAGTTTTGTGCAAGATGGGTTCTGAAAATGCTCACTGGTGCACACAAAATGCAGAGAATGACTTTGGCTTTGACTTTTTGGAGTGCTGATGGTGGAATTCATGCAACAAGGGACCACAATGTCAGAAATGCATTGCAAAACACTAAAAGAACTGTGTAGGGCCATTCAGAACAAAAGGCGTGGAATGCTGACATCAATTGTAGTGCTCCTCCATGATAATGTGAATCTGCGTACAGCTGCTCACACTCAAGCACTGCTGAAGCATTTCAAGTGGGTTGTTTGACTGCCCTCCTTACAGCCCTGATCTTGCTCATTGACTACCATCTGTTTACCTACCTGAAGAACTGGTTGGCATAACAGCACTTCAACAGTGATGAGGGAGTGGATGGAAGGTGTCAAAACATGGCTTAGCTTACAGGTGGCAGACTTCTCTGAGATAGGCATACAAAAACTTATTCCCCAATACAAGTGCCTCAGTTGTGGTGGTGACTATGTTGAGAAGTGGCTTAAGTATGTATGTAATAATTTTTTTCTCATTGCTTGTTTTGTTAAGAGCTTACCAGAGTTTTTTAAATGATAGTGGGGTGGGACTAAGTCCCTTACACTGCGGCCACTTCTGGCCTAATGTACCAGCCCCAGATGATAGGTGAGGGTGATTGTGGAGCAATTGGTGGAATGAAGATTGGCAGGTGAAACCGAATTACTTGGAGAAAACCTGCCCCAGCGCCACTTTGTCCACCACAAATCCCTCTTGACCAGACCCGGGCCACCGCGGTGGGAAGCCTGCGACTAATCACTTGAGCTATGGTGCGACCCTCACCAGAGGTTACTTTCTGAATAGCCCTTGTATAATAATGGGAGTTAGAAAGTAGCAGTTTCCAAGTCATAGCTCCATTGAACACTATAAAATGATTTAATATGATGTAATATTAAAAATATAGCAATAATGATAATGATAATTATCTGGCCACGGAGCTTATTTGTTTATATTTCAGTATCAAGACTGTATAGCACTGGATGGTAGTATGGCTGATGAAATGGAAGTGGTCATGACCTAATTGAGGTCTTCTTTTGTCTGCTTGGGGGAACAATAGAAAACTGTAACATATCTTAGAATAGCTGGTGTCATGGCTAAGACTTGAAGTGAGCACCCCCAAGCACAAGTCAAGTGCATCACCTCTGTTATTCCTCTTAGTACTATTATTATTGTTATCATTATATTATTATTAGTCTATTAAATTACTGATAGCAGCAAGAAATCCCATTTCAAGCATGCATTAAAGATGATGCTAAAAGATAATAAAATTATATAAGAAAATATAGATAACAAGAGTACAGTTACTGAGTTTACAACATAAGAACTAAAGAATCTAGACACAAGAATAAGTTAGAAATTAAGTACTATAATATGTCATTCCAAATCAAAATGTCAGTGAGCGAAAGACATTACTTCTTGACAGTGTCAATGCTCATGAAGATTACACAATAGCAAGAGCACATCTGAGGGACTGACTTTCTCGTGATCATACACATTAAATAAAGAGCCATCTCTTATAAATCTTCTAGGAATTGGTAGACTATGGCTATAGACTATTCAGAATAGATGAGCAATAGTTATGCTCTTAAAACTTTGATAAGTGTTAAGGCATTTAGACACCATCACCTGGAATGAAGTGATAAAAGATTCTTATTAATATGCCTTTATATTTACTGTCATATAATAACAGGCCCCCTCGTTGGTGTCTCCACCTTATCGTGGTGAGGGGGTTTGAGTATGCCAAGGACCCTGAGAGCTATACCAGCGGTAGCGTAGCTACTGGCAGGGCCTCCCTTGCTGGACAGGTCAAAGGGTAGGCATCAGACGAAGAGAGACACCAAAAACTGATGCCGGAAGCAGCGTCATCAGCAGCGACTTGAAGCACAGAGCAAATGATGCTCGACATGGTTCAATTTCGTATAGCAACAGGCGTGACCAGAGTGGTTTGAACGGCTGTTGTACTGCGATGTGGAAAGCAAATGGAAAAACTACCACATTATCACTTTTCCTGGATAGTCTCTTCCCAAAAACAGAAGATCGCATTAAGTGGAGGAACTGTTTTGGAAGAGGCTGTGGACCTGTCGTACTGACAGATTACTCATGAATGAATGAATAATAACAGGCTTTCTGAGAACTTTAATGAAATTATACAATACTGAAATAAATGCTTTTTCTTCTCCACCTGTGTACCAAGAAACCAATGTATCTATGTCTTTCTCTCTGTGGCTCTACAGCTCTCTGGACCTTGGCCACTTTTTCAGCTTCTTAATTTATCCATAGTTGGTAGGACTCCTGTAGCAGCCTGTCGCAAGGCTGCTACCTACACATGGAATCACACAGAATAAACGCACACAGACATCCATGACTTGAGTGGGATTTGAACCACTCCCAGTGTTCAAGCAGGCAAAGACGATTCGTGCCGTAGACCGCATGGCCACTGTCATCAGCAAGAAATCAATGTATACATGATGTAATGCCTCATGATTGTAACTTAGTCTCCAGGCTATGGAAACAGCTAATTTTAGTCAAGAATGGTGTTTGCAGTTATATGACCAGGAGCACTGATTCAATTAATTTGGCTCTAATCTTTTGTATTTGTATCCTCTGGGCAAGATACCTTATTAAACTTAATTTTAAAAAATGTTTAATGCTTTATACAGTTAGCTATAAAAGAAAGATTCTCCTTTGCATCAATTCAAGTAGTAGTCTGTGTTAGAGTTTTTTGTTGTGGATGGCTATCTAAGTAACTGGAAAGCAAAGTGCACCCACTCTCTCATTAATGACTTCTAACATCTCTGCATCATTTATCACTTATTTGCAAACAAAGTACGTGATAATGCTTGTAACACGTTCACTAGAAAGAAGCCTCCATTAAGAGTCCACATTACTTGTAAATATTTGACATGTAGTGATGCCATTGCTGCTTTTAGAATATTATTTCAGACTATCTGTAAGCAGAAATGGAAGTGTCACTATTCTTTAAATCAGAGTTTTGTTAGTTATTTAGCTAACGGTGTATAAACAACCCACTACAGTCTTGGTCAAATATTGCTCCTCCAAAATTTATTCACTATGTTATATGAAGTGAAGTGTCAGTCTGTATTAACTCTGTACTGAGATAAGCTGTGTGAACAGATATCTGCTGTTATCTTCTATCTACAGGTCCTTGTACTGGTAAGCATCTCAATTTCTCGCCTATACAGTATTCAAATAAGGTATCAGGTTAACGAATTAACCTCATGTGACTGAGAAAAATCAAGAAACCTCAGATAGGATGGCCTGTAGCAGCCTCCGCAGTTTAGAGGTAACGTTCCCACCTCATGACTCGTCGTACGCGAGTACCCGGCGGAGGTCGTGGAATTTTTAAGGGCGGAAAAATTCAGGGAACAAGTCCTCCGGGAGGGACTTTAAGCCGTGGGGCCCGTGTCGTAGCTTTACGGCACGTAAAAGAACCTCATATCTCCAAAGGAGGTCACTGAGCCAAATTCAAGGACATTTCCAGCCCATCAGTAGTCTCTAACGCCTCTGATAGATGGGGGAAGCATTATAGATACCGCTAAGCCAGTAGAGGCCGAACTCGGTGGCTCGGTCAGGACTGATGGTATGCACCAATATCGGTAGGGTATAGAGACTGGTAGAATATCATAGAGAGAAGCACAATGGACCAATACTGGTCTAAGTGCATGGGGAAACCCACCCTCTCCAATAACTAACTAACTAACTAACTAGGATGGCCTGTGCTATGGCTGGAATGTGAAATGCGCCCCTCCAAAACACGTCAGCTGCATTACTGCATGGGTTAAGCTGCTCTGTGATTCTGTTTTTATAGGCACAGTTATAGTTAAATATACATTTTTTTAAACATGGCTTTTCTGTATAAACTGTATTTTTCATTAAACACAGTTCTCTCACACAACCTCCTCCCACAAAATGCATGTGATATATAATACCAGCACCAAAAATGGGACTGGGTGTATATAAATCTATCAGTGTGAAATATGAATAGTGGGATACAAAGCTTTTTAACTGTGCCCTTAATCATGGCGCACTTCCATTTCTTTCACTGACCCATTCTTTATGCTTGGATTCTACAGCTTGACAGTTGATGTTCGGTACAGATCGCTTCATACACGGACAGAAGCTATTTTACCACTGTCCCTTTCACTCAACCAGAAAATAATTATTTCTTGGCAGTAGGTGAGAAATTCCATTTTATCCATCAGATTCAGTGAGAGATGTCTTACTTCTGGACATAAATCAATTAGCCTCCTTTCCTTATTTTGAAAAATAAAAGTAGGCTTATCAGACCATCTTGCTGTCTGTGTATTCCCTCATAATTCCTGAAAGCTTAAAGTTGGCCTGTTTTGATAACTTCAGGGCAGACCATAGAGAAAGCACCACCTCCAACAGTTGGATGCATCATTTTTGATGTGGTCTATGTCATATCAAAGGAAAGTAAGCAATTATTTTTTCCTAGAAATTCTTGTTCATTTCATACAAAATATAACAGGAGCTGGGATAGCTAGGTTGGTATACTGGCTAGGCTACCAACTGAACAACCAAGGAATCGTGATTCAATTCCTAACAAGGGCAAGAGTTTTCCTCTTTTCCACAGCATCAGGACTGGGACCCACCCATCCTCCTATTCAGTGGATACCAAGGGCTATTTCTCCTGTGGTAAAGCAGCAAGAGTGTGGCGCTATACCACTCTAACCATCTTGATGGCCTAGTGCCTTAATTAAGTACACAGACAACTTTACTTTGCTTTACATTCCACTATTGTAAATGGTTTGACACTCAGTGACAGCATACACCAGAACAAAAGTGTTACAAAATGATAACCACTTTACTGTCAAGATTAACGAGAATTTATTCATAGAGGAAACACTAATATTAAGTAATGAAGGCCATGGAGCTGAGTTCTTCTCAAGAAGCTAAGAGTTCCTCATGTAGTCAAGAAATTCCTACATTCTATGTAGCCTGAAGACTGATTTCCATGTTCACAAGAGCCTGCCACTGGTCCCTGTCCTGAACAAGATAATTCCAATCCAGACACTCTCATCTTATTTGTTTTAATTTATTTAATCTAGTCTATGCCTGTATCTTCCAAATTGTTTCTTTTCTTTGCAGTAAAAAAGGTAAAGCAATCCCTTTAACAGGCCGTGAAGCCCCATAGGTTTGTGAGACATCGAGGCTCCCACATTTATAAACATAGTCAGCTCACAGATGGCACCAAGGTTGTCAGCCTTACATGCCAGCTGCCCTTTACCCCCCAGGAAGACTCCTGGTACTCATTTGTGTTAAGAGGGCTTAGTCAACCCCAGGGCCATACTAAGGTTGGACAGATTAGGTCACTTGACAAATCCAGTAACCTCACTGGAATTCAAACCTGCGACCTTGTGGCTTGTAGCATCATACCTCAATCAACTATGCTACAGCATGGCCCCTTCACTTCACAGTTTCCTACCAACACTTAATTTTGGTTTTGTAACATATAAGACATGGAAAGAATTGAAATTAGTAGGGATTTAATCAACTGGAAGCATTACAACATAGACAGCAAAATTATGTGCCAAGAACTGGACACCTGGATTTCATTCCTGGCAAGGAAATTGGCAGTTTCTTCTTTACCACTGTGTCAAGAACAGCAATAAGGCTCACTTAGCTGGCCACTTATCCAGAAAGTATTGTGATCTATTTCTGCAGTGGTAAACATGACCAGAACATGAAGTTGAATTCTTGTTCCCATCTATTGCTAAAGTCATGAATATGTGGAAGTATGCCTCCACATATGAGTACATTATATGCTTCTGAGGCATGATGGTTTGTACAGCGAAGGAAACAAATCAGCATTCATTAAGATTACCATGAAGGATATATTTTCTAGTATTAAACATTACAGCCTGCCTACAGACAAATGTAACACCTACACTTTGCTTACAGTGTATTACATAACAAACAAAAAAGTGTATATTAAGATTTGAGGCTTTCACGGCGGTGACTATGAAGAAAGCAGTCTTCTGGGATTTGGCACCGTGTATATGTGGTGTTAACCGACGTTTCGGAGGAACGTATCGCCCCCATCTTCAGGGTTGAAGAAGTATAGGTAAATCTGCAAGCGACAACACCGTGAGACACGGTCAAGCAGACTGCTTGACCGTGTCTCACGGTGTTGTCGCTTGCAGATTTACCTATACTTCTTCAACCCTGAAGATGGGGGCGATACGTTCCTCCGAAACGTCGGTTAACACCACATATACACGGTGCCAAATCCCAGAAGACTGCTTTCTTCAAGTGTATATTAGTTGTATCATATAATAATACACTTTGGAGATCATATTCTCATAACAAAATTGTGCATTCTATTAATGCCTGTAAGGAAGTCCCAATTAGATGTACTGGTGTTACTTTCAGGACACTGATAACAGTAGTAATACAAAATGAACATTATTCATACTACATGCTGACACCACACTTTTCATTCGTTAACACAGCATTTTCCAAATGGTAGATTCTGCCAGAAAATTTCATTACAATATAAAATAAATGATAAATTGAAAATATGAGGCATATTAGTTTTTAAGCTTCATTTTACATGTACATGAAGTACAATTTTTGTTTCCAGATATGCACAGTTAAATAATATGTTGATCTCTTCATATCCTTGTTTAACAGTTATTTATTATTATCTTTACTTATCTTTGGTATTCAGTCAGTATAGCGATGGGCTATGAATTGGATGGCCCAGGTTCGATTCCACAGCATCCAGACTGACTCTGGGGCCCACCCAGCCTTGTATCCAATGGGTGCCAGGGGCAATTTCCTCAGGGTCTGAAGCTGGCAACTCACCTGCATCTAATGCCAAGGTCAAGAATGGTGGAGTGACACTTCCAATCCCCCATATGTCTTCATGGCATTGTCCTTAACTAATTAAGCACAGGGACAACTTTAGCTTTTATATATATACTGTGTGTGTGTATATATATGAATTTTATTAGGGGTCTCATAAAAACTTTTCATGTTGGAAAGGGTTCTGTGGCCAAATTTATTTAGGAAACACCATGTTAACATAATCACCACCAATAAGAGAGGCTGCTGCTTAGAGGCTGAGTGCACAGTGAATAACCCTCCACTCCATGAATGTCACAGAACTGATGACAAAGCTTTTAAAAAAGGAAACTCTCATAACTGGATATTAGAATGTACAGTAGGGAAATTTAATGGAACACAGACTGAACTCACAAATCCATGTCCAGGAGTTGGATCTGGTAATGAAAAAGTTGAACCTTTGAGGTCTATTATGAGATCTAAAATCATATGTTTCAGACTTCGTTTACAGTGGGTATGAAACACCTGGAAAATAATGTAATGTTTAACTGTTACTGAATATGTGTTTTAGACTCTCAAGTAAATAAGTATGTTAGCACTAACCTGTCTACACATTTGCCTGCATGTCCCCTGGCATGTGCCCCCCCCCCCAACACACTCTCTCTTTCTTTTAAATGTAGTTCAAATATTTACTACATTGAAAAATGAATCAAACATAATATTAGAACTTGATGAAACGATATATAATCAACCATTTTTAAGGTGGTAATAAATTATAAAATAGATGGACTGTTAAATATTCTTGAGCTACCTATTTCCGGTTATTACACGCGCTTGACTTGTGCAGTTCTCCAGATTATTCTTGGTTTCAAGATCACTCTAACTCCCCCCTCCATTTAAATAACCTTCATCTGTTACAAATGTAAAATATGACTGCATGTTTTCTCTGATTCATGTCTACAATATGTAAATAATGGGATCACAGAAAAACTAATTCCATGGGGTTGAGTCCTCCTTCAGAGGTGACCAGTTGCTCAGTTACCAAAACATTTCATGGAATCTGAAGATTCATTACTGTCTTCACAAGAGCCTGCCACTGGCCTCTGTCCTAAGCCAGAGCAATCCAGTTGCTACCACCCCATCATACAAGGTGTGGCAATAAAGAAACCGGATTCATGCTCTAACCCTTTATTAAAAAAAATCAGACAGTCGAAATGTTATCCCCTTCAATGTAGTCCCCTCCCCGATCCCTACACCGCTCCATGCGAATTTTCCACTGTTGGAAGCAGTGCTGCAGGTCATCTTGTGTTATGCTCTTCAAGAGTTGCGTCGCTTTTGCTTTCACTGCATCCACGGACTCGAACCTGGTCCCTTTCAGCGCAGACTTGATTTTTGGGAAGAGAAAAAAGTCGCACGGTGCTAGGTCCGGAGAATACGGTGGATGTTCCATCACTGGAATGTTGTTTTTTGCCAAATACCTCTTCACAGATAGCGCGTTGTGTGCTGGCGCGTTGTCGTGATGAAGAACCCATGAGGCATTCTTCCACATGTCTG